CTGAGTTCCGGCTCGGGTCTTCCTAAACAACTGACACAAATCACACAAACAGTTTGGATATGTCAATCTTCGTAGTAGGATAAGCAGTGCTTCCAAACCACCAGCCACAGTTCCATTTGGACACTTGTACACAGCAGGTATTGAAAGAGCGTGTAGTACTCTAAGATCGTTTTTGCTAAACCTGTGTCGAAAAGTTGTAAGGTTTGGAGAGTTCGAATACCCTACCTTTGTTATCACGACTATAATTCAAAATCGGTGTTACCTAAACAGGTCGATGTAAGTTTGCTCGTCCAGACTTTCAAGGTCAATTTTAAAACCTAAGTCAACACCACACGGAACTTCGCTTAAGGCATTCGCAAGAAGAATTTCGATGTCTTCATCCCCAGTGACAAACGTATGGAGAAGAAGCATATCATTGGCGTACTTTCTAAAGACAGAACATTCGTAAAGGAGAATTTTGGATACATTTGATAGACTTTATTAAACAATTCAGATAACTTATTTTTGAGGAAAAAGAGCAAACCTTGCCGTTGCGGCCGCCATCTTTGTAAACAATCGTTACCAATCCCCACTTGTTTAAAACTCTTCGGGTATCAAATTATCCAATATGTCTTCTGCACGTGAAGTAAGCACGTGGGTTGTACCTTAAACGTGCAGAGATCTCGTGTGATAATAAACGTTGCGTTCAAAGCCTGCATCCGGTGAAGACAAATCACATAACAGATTCCTCCGTTTGGAAATTCAAACAGTTGTCGTCGCATGATCCGTCTTCAAATCGAATCAAGCTTTCTTTGAGGTCTGCAAGTCTCTTTAGAGGTAAGTACGGGCCGGGAATAAGTAAAAAAGTTTAGCAGATTGATGGTCATTTTGTACAATCCGCCGGTAAAACATTTGAAATGTCGCGACCACATGTCCGGCAAAAAACGATTTTGGTATATGATTTTTCACGTCAGACTACCTCAGACTAGCCAGAGGAAATTGTGGCCAACTTGTAACTCTTTATATGCATTTTGTCTGCGTTTAACTATCGGAATAGACGGAATCGTTTCACTATTCAGTCTCGTAATTTACTGAATATCCACCAAGAGCCTTGAACGAGAAAAATGCTACAACTCGAATTTTCAAGTCTAGTGCTAGCTATCAACTCTGCGGCAAGTTAGAACAGAACGTTTAATGGAAGTTAGCCGGGTAATACTGCAATCTATTCTTCGCGTGGCTCCATCGCCAAAAGAATTTCTACAAAACTCAGTGCCTGCTGTCAAACCAGTCGCTAGTTATGACATATGCACGCACGAGGTTTTCTTCTCTTATACCATACATTTCGCATGGCAGATTCGCCTTTGCACGCACGAGATCTCATCGAGTACTGCGCTGCAGACTCGTTAACAAGACTAAACGAATCTTATCAAGCCAGATTATTAGACGAAAAAGTAGCTGCTGTATAAGCATGACATTTAAGAATTACTGCAGTGCTATTATGTAACATGCATGATGTTTACTACGGGGGAAACTGCAGTAGTTAAGAGTGAACCGAAACAGAAACTTCGGGGATGTAATTGATCAAATTCAAGTTGAAAGTGGTGATCGTTCGTTTAAAGTTACGGTCGCCAGATGAAAGCATGTGGCACCAGTTTAAAGTGGCCATCAGCAGTTCGAAATGGCGACGCCAGTTTTGGTGGCGATTGTTAGTTTAAAGTGGCGACGCCAGTTTAAAGTGGCGATTGCCATTTCAAAGATGCGAATCTTCAGTTTTCATACATAGTGTCAATAGCATGGCCTTTAATGGGCATCGTACCGTGCACTCTTTGCCAAGATTTCCTGTCTACAGCTTTCCAATGCAAACCTTGATTAATTAAGTTGGAAAAAAAGCTTGACTGGAAGTCCTAAGGACAATTCATTTTTTGTAACGTTCATAGTTTTTATGAAAAGCATTTTCCCTACAACGGTTATTTCTCGCCGTTAGAAGTCGTGCATGATCACAGCGACTTGTCCAGGAAAAAGTACAGTGTAAGAAGCTCATCTGAAAGACCTGACACCAGCGACTTCTATGCCTCCTGTCTGTTCACCTTCGTGTACCTATTAAGGCCGAGTGACCGTCATTGCTTCGATTCT